GACTTAAATTTTGTTATGCTGCCCTCAAGCTGCAGTACTGTTGTGAAATATCAGGCTGTTAAAAGACAATCAATATAATGAAGACTTTCTGGACTTTCTATGAAACACATTCAATTTACTGTACTTGAAAAAATCAAATTTTCACATGTCAAATTGTGTACATGTACCTTTGCAAGGATCTGATGTATTTCTTGAAATGTTGGCCTCTTGTTTACATCCTTATCTAGACATCGGTCCAGAAGGGAAGCAACACCACTGGGACATACAAGAGGCCACGTCTTGTTGCGTTTCTAAACGCACAAAAATGGAAAGATTACAAAATAGCAAAATAATGCACATCTTGATTGACTCAGAGCTGTCTAGGTAAAAGGTAAAGTCTCCATACAAGCCAAGAGGCCCATCAGGCCGGCACTTATATCTGGTTTAAGTAGCATGAAGTGACTACGAGTATTTCTACTAACAGTACATGTACTTCCCCTGGGATGGGATGCTAACCCATCACAGGGTTACCCCCCTCCCCCAGCATTAAATTTGCCGCTATCCGGCCGTTCATACACCTGGGTGGAGAGAGGCACTGTGAGAGTAAAGTGTCTTGCCTACGAACAAGAACAAGCTGTTGAAACATCAATAACAAAATACTAGATGGTAATAAAATGTAATCATGGATATTTCATCTATAGATCTATACTAATAATATTAATTTCAATCAGTGGTCAGTTTAGACATAAAAGAAACATGCTGTAGATAAAGTAGCATGATCTGATGCTTTACAGTTCAAAGAAAGTTCTACAGGAGTTTAGTAAGTTAGTAAGATTCTAATATTTTTCTCTTGCTTACCGGAAAAAGTTTTAGCAACTGACTTGAATGGTGAGAATCCAAATATCTGAACATCCCAATAACAAGGTGAGCAAACATGGCAGCCACTCCCTTGAATGAGTTATCATCTAGACGGTGTCCTTGGTGTCCAGATATTGTACGGTAATCTGCCCTAAGGAGGAAAATAATAAAAATCTTATAGCATCTTAAATTTTGAGATATCTGTGTCTGTGATATAAAGTGACATAACATGACATGTTGTATACTGTAAAAGAACATTACTAAGAGCCCTCGGGGTTGTTCGCAATGGCTTGAATAAACTGTCCCCCACTTGTTGAAAAAAATCATTAAGCCAACCAGTTGGAGAGGGTGTCTGGCTCTGGTAGGCAAGGGGATATTACACTGCTGATAATAACGACCATATATATTATACAGCTGTGTCAGGTGTAAAAGAAAGAACTGATACAATGATGAAATAAATAATAATTCTTACAGCTGCGTTTTGCCCATTTCTTCCTCATAACAGCAGCACATAAAGCCACCAACACTGATCTATAAATGAAAAATAATTAAACCGAGACTGTTCTCCAAACAACAACAAGGTAAGAAAGATCAACATATCAAAGTATCATGATACAGTTATTTTGAACAAATCGAGAAGGACAAGTCAAAGATGAAAAGCAATACATAGCAGGAAGGTGAATAAAAGAAAGAGCAGACAGAGGAAGAGAAGCAAAAAGAAGTTGGGTGGATGAAGAGGAAAAAGAGGAGTATGAGGAAGAGGAAGAGGACTAGAGATAAGGAATAAAGAGGATGATGATGGGAATTTAAAGGAGGCAGAATTAGAGATGGAAGAAAAGGAGAAAGAAAAAGAGGAACAGGACAAGTAAGAGTGATATGAACCTAACAGAAGGAAGAGAAGGAAAAGATGAAAGAAAATGAAAAAGGAGAGGATGAAGCATAAGGAGAGATCAAAAGAATGGGAAGAAAAGATGGGGGAGTGGAGATAGATAAAGGGAGAACAGGTTAAAAAAGATCTGCCTATGAGCCAAGTGGCCCATTGGGCCAGAGCTTATCTCCTGTATCTGTCGCACGAAGTGACTAGGAATATTTCTACTCCCCCCTGGATGGCATGCTAGTTCATCACACAGTTGCCTCCAGCATTAAATTTGCTGGTACCCATTTGTACACATAGGTGGAGAGAGGCACTATGAGGGCATCTTGCTCAAGAACACAACACAATGTCCCTAGCCAGGGCTCGAGCCTGGACTGCTCAATCCAGGTGCATGCACACTAACCATGAGGTCACCACCCCTCTACCCAAAAGGAGAACTGTAGCGAGGAGAATAATTATTCCAAACCACTTCCAAAAACTCTAACCTTTTCAAGCGATGCAATGTAGACAAAGGGCTCCACGACTGATGTATGTACAAGGTGTTTAGATTCTAGATATTCCAGCGCTGAAGAAAGCTGTGAAGCATACAGCCATGCATGAAACAATGATGGAACACGGAACTCCTCTAGGTTACCTTCACTGAATAGCTCAACCACCTAGGAGACAAAAATAATGGCTTGTCATTCGGTAAGCCTGTTATACACCCAACCCTGTCAAAATGTTTCATAATGGCAGGCAGGATACCACAATTATCAGGCCATAAAGGTCAGAGAAGGATAAGGAAGGATAAGTGGTCATTACCAGTAGCCCCAGTATAAGGTAAGCAGGAAATAAGTTACTGTTGGCAGCAAAATGGCTAGTGGCTGGCATATTTTGACATTGTAGCATTAATTTGATTTCCAGAATTATTGAATTGCCAGCTACCCCTGCCAGTGCTTGATGATGTAGCAATTTTCTGGGACCCTGAGTTTATATACTTAGACAGTGAGTGGTTAAAGTGCACTTAACCCCAAAAATTTTCTTTCGCTAAAACGAATCTAGACTTTATTTGAAGCATTTGCACGGAGAAATTTTTGAATTTGGTTGAATCCTTGATTTTCTATGCCCTTTCAAAGTCGCGCTTGAAGTGTTTCACGACCGCGTTTTAGGGAGTCTGGGGCGGCG